CTTCATTTCTGAAAACACCTCATAACATCTGCTCTAGTTCTCTAGGGAGGCCTCAGGAGACAAAAATCTCATAGAAAAATTGCTTGTTAAGAATAAAGGACAAATATGCTAACTTCCAACTTGAATAGAGATCAACATAGTAATTTAGTAACCAGAGCTCCATATTAACTGGAAAAGTAGTTCCCTCACATTCTGCCATTAATTCCTTTCCATCAAGATAGTTTTCAAGGAGTAGCTTGAAAATCAATCAGACAAGCTCAAGGACAGAAATCAGCTGATCAAGAAATATGAAATAGAAATGAAGACTGATGAGATGTAAAAGGATATGCAAGCACTCCAGAGAGAGATAATGCTCAGGCGTCTGTTCAAGTCTGAAGCAGAATGCTATTCCTAAGGTTCTTCACAGAGAAAAGATTAAGATAAATGCGTGGAGACATTTTTAAAACTCTTGTCTTCTTTTATTATGTTTTATTCCAGCTGGTAAGAGAAAAGTATAATTTGGTAATGAGGCAATGTTCATCGTGCTTTTATCGCTGCTTACAAGGAAACGGAAAAATAGTTGATACTAAATGCTTTGACAGCTGAAACCAGCACAAAGGCTTGACTTAGGAGGAGGATAGCATAATTCTGCTGAAGGGAGGAAAAAGCAGGAAGTCCCAACATACAGAATGTGGTACAAGTGAAGGTGAATCAAGCCCTTTAAAATGGTAATCCGTGGTTCCATATTAGCAATTAGGGCAGTAAGCACGGTTTAATGTTTATTTACACATTATTCACTGATACTGCAGACAGCTCAGTATAAGAAGTGTAAGAGCTCATTAGTGGGCTATTTTACCCAGGGTAGTTATCACAGCTGATCTCTAAAGGTGAAGCATCATGCTAAGGTAGGTATACCCAGCTATGAAGATAGGTCATTTAAGAATAAACTGCTTTACAACAGATAGACATGTTCACAGCAAACAGACTTTACTACACAGAGAAACACTTCGATGTGCAGGGAATAACTTGAAACTCAGTAAATTAGGTGGAAAATGATTGGATAAAAATATTTAAGGAGTTTAGCCTCCAATCTGTGTTTTCAGAAAAGATTCATGAAGACATGGATGTTTAAAATCATATATGAGACTCTAAAAAATAGAATACAATCATGAGGAAAGCCAGCTGAAGAGTAATAAAGTAATGAATTGTAAGACTTATGTAAATCAAACATATTTAGCATTTTTAAAAGTATGAAATGGATTTTCTTCCTATTGCCTATACATAATGGAAAGCATCCTCCAGTTACCAACACATTAGATTTTGCAGAGACCAAAAATAAGAAACAGTTGTTTCATATACACAGACTAATGGAAAGGAACAGACAACATGTCTATGAAGTTGTTATACAAGGCTGTAAGCTTGTTTCTTAGAAATGAAACAATGGTTTGCACCAACAGACAGAAATGAAAAGAAATCCCACTAATCAAGATTTTTCATTATACAGATCAGAAAATGTTGTGTACTTGACAGAACTCCAAAAAGGAGTTGGCACACTTTACTCCAGTCTTAGTCTTCCTTCTAACCACATGTAAACTGTGAATTTAACTGGGATTCTAAACCAAAGAAATAAGTAAAGGCAGAGACATAAAGGGCAGATTCCTGGAACTGGAATGCAACAAGATGTCAGATGACACAAGACACTGCTAGCTAGCATCAGAAACAAATCTGTTTCTCTGTTGCCACAAGAGAAAAAAATGTTATTTGACTTTCTCAGTTCACAGAAAAGTAATAGGCTTAGTGTCAAGCAGACTGGGTTTATCTACCAGTCATCAGCCTGTATGACAAAGAAAGGAACTTTCAGAGACTAACTACCATAACTACTTCGATTCAACAATCACAACAAACAAGATTAAGAGATTTTTTATATCTATATATGGTGAAATCACAGCCTACTATAACTCCACACAAAGAGTGACAATTAAGGAAAACACTATGTACAACACATATGTTCATCATACCCACAGTGCAAAATAAGTAATGCCCACATAAATAGATGACTCATCATTTGGGGGGGGACACACTACAAGAGGAAAATGACATAAAAAAAGCCCTCCAGCTAACAAATAAATCTCTCTCCTAGCTTTTTGTCATGTCAAGTATGCAAAGATTCCAGCTTTTTATATCTGGTTCTCACGCTCTTTCAAATAAAAGACTACTGAAGACATATATTACATTTTTTCCCCATTTATGCCTAATATGTTACTCTATGGAAGTCTTTTCAGCAATTCCCTCTCAAAGATTCTTGAACCTTTTATTCATTTCTTCATCTTTTTGTAAATATTACCATACCACTAATTAATGAGTGAAATCCAAGTACCACAGCAGAACTGTACTTTCCATTTTCAATGTACCAGGCTCTTACATTCCAACACTGTTTGGAACACATGGTAAAACAATAAAATCACAAAACAATTGACACAAAAATGGGAGGTTTAAAATCTAAAAATAAATATTCTACACTGAATACTTCGACGAGCTGTAATTACAAAACATCATATCATAAAAGACATACTAAGCACTGCTCCAAACATAGATACACCTTATTATGAAACACATAGTAATTATTATGAAACACTGGTAGTTAAACATTCATTATGGAAGGATTGTTATGAAATAGAAGTCTTCTTAATAAGACACTCTAGTTGAAACCTATTAATTTAGTGGCATATAGTCCCAACAGTTTCACAACACCAGGACTGAAAAATACATCATCAACTGTGCAATACCTAACTTGTAATCTGTACTGAAAATACGTAGTCAGCAGGACGCTGCTAAGTCCTCTTCACTACCACACTTCAGTTAGCAGTATCTCCCTTGATACTCCCATGAGAGATACATTTTATGAATTGTATTTGCAAAAGGCTATTTTGCTTTTGAATAACGTTCTTTTCTCTCTTTAGTATTCTGCAGGAGATTACATTTTTAATCTAGATCTGTTTCCCTGTATGAACTATAGTGTTAGGAAATGTTATCACATATTATTAAGTCATTCTGCATTAGGAATAAAATCTGTGGATTGATCCTAGATCTTTTATTTGTAAATGTGTTATCAATATTTGATTGTACAAGGTAAGATTGAAAATCTCTAGATCTGAAGGATGATATAAATTTAGGTTTAAAAAAGGTATTTTATACAACTCTGTAAAAAACCAAACTCCTCTGCTCAGTATAAAACATATTTCATATTGCTTTACAAAGATAATGCTTTCAAGTACATAAGGAATTTATGGTGCTGGTCACAAAAATTGAAAAGTGAAAAAAAATATTGGTCTATTATGTGGCATTTCTGTTTAAAAACAAACATTCTCTCCAGTTTTTCTACTGAGATCAAGTGACTGAATAGCTTAATAAAAAAAGGCTTCAAGAAAACATATCTTTGCTACAAAATACGACAAGGCACATTTTCACAGCATAAGTAGGAACTCAGCCATACAACTCCTACTAATATTACTGGGAGCTGCCTGTCAAAAGCACTGCGTATCATGCTGAAAATGTCCTTCAGTGATAACAACAGGGTTAAAACTTTTGGACATACACATAAATATTTTATATGAGGTGTTTCACAAGATAATATTAGTGATTTATGCTCAGCTGTGCTTTCAGAAGTAGTTGTATCACAGGAACACCTCAGAAATGAGTTTACTTTGTGGTTATATGGTCCACTAAAATCTACTGTTCTTTCAAGAAACTTTCAACATAAGTCTGGCTTTTTAAAGCAGACATTTAAAGAAGGCACACAATCAAATTTATTCATTACAGAATATTCAGTGTTATCTATACTATTTCAATACCTCAAGTATCTTATGTACAGGTGATCTTGTTAAATTACTTTTAAATCAGTTTCTAAAAATATCACCTCTTCCTTTAGTAGAGGAATGATACAACTTCTCCAAAATTAAGTGGATAGTATCAAAGAAAGATGGAGAACCCTGATATCAACTACAACACAATAGGAAAAGAAAAATATGAAGTGTACCACAGAATGAAATAATAAAAATCTTGAGGCTGAAGTGAGACTGCATTATCAAGCCAAACAGAAAATCTTATTAAAGAGATAAAAGCCAATATAGTTTATATATATTTAATTTAGAAAATATTTAAAAGTGACTATGAGGAGAACTCTGCAAAAGAGATTACATTTACACCCCTGGGAATCACTGATTTACTGTTCTGAAATTTTTTTGCTGTCATAGCAAAAGTCAAAGTTACAAAATGTGAGACTATATTTCTGTGAGCATGTCTTAACTACTTGACAAGGAAAAGGTAAATATAATGGGAATTTTTGACAAAAGATGTTCTCCTGCCTGTCTGTGTTGAAGAAAACAAATTTTAAAAGTGAGACTATATATCTAATCAACTTATAATTTAACAGTTGTTGTACTGAGTTCCTTAGCTCTGAAAGTTCAGCTAAACATGCTTCCAAATACATTTCAATCTGGGACTTTAAATTATGTGAGGTATCTCAGTGATTTTACTTAGCACACAATTAAAAACTAAATATTGTTACCCTACTTCTAAGATACTGATCTATATAAAGAAACTTGTTTTGTAACAGGTAGAGGCCCAGCTGGGAATCTAGGATTAACATGGGCAGCTAAGTACTCAAATTGAGATTAAGCACCATAGCATCAAATGAAATCAGGCTAACAAAATAAAATGTCAACCCTTGTCTTTCTAAACACAGTGTAGTTGGGAAAAGACATTTTGTAAACTTTCTAGTGTCTCTAAATTTGTAAATAAAAGGAGAAAACTAGTCGGTATACTCAAGACTTAGTGACATAACAAACTAGAGACTTAGTGGAGAAAATTAATAGTGAGAACCCTCATCATTAATTATTCTTCTGTACATCATGAAGTTAAAATATAAGAGTATGAAAGTAAGAAAATTTTTGTGACTTTTGACAATTATTAATAAGAAAAAGATGATAACAATTGCCAAAAAAATCACAAAAGTTGACATGTTACCTGGCTATGACAAAGAGCACACAACTGACACCCAAGTAAGCCAGCAGAATATACATCCAGATATCAGGGGAGAGAGGATTCAGGAAGGAGAAGACGCCCGGGTTTGTACCATTGGGCTTGCGGTACAAAATACTTATTCCAAGAGTCATAAAGGGCTTGGAAAAGTCGATGACCTTCTCTCGAACATAGGTAATTGCCAATGGCGCAACAGCAAGGTCAGCTTTCTGTTAACAGAAATACAAAAAGAGAAACAGACCATAAGTCAGAAGAAACAGATTGAAGCAGACAAACAGATTAGGCAAAACACAAACTTTACATGGAGGAGATTTGTTCTTGTACTAGGTAGGTTGAAATTTAGAGTTCTCTTCTCCCTGTAAGTGAGGAAACAGATTTATTCTATTTCCTATTTGCTAAACGGACATGTCAGCATCTAGAGAAAATTAAAAGCACTATTACAGGGATAGAAATGAAGAAAAACATTGTATCTTGCAGAAATCATGAACATCCGTTTTCAAGTCTTTTAAAACTTTTTTAAATGTATATATCAACATATGTCTTCTCTTTGTCACTCATTCACTGTGCTTTTTAGAAGCTAACATATTTGTGAAGCAGATGTGAATATACTTGCACAAGTGTAGGCAAAGGGGCAGGAATCAGTTCTGCTTATTTTAGAATAAAAATATAGATAGAAAATGAAGAGCATTTTAAAATGGGAACTGCTACACCTGAAAGGTTGCTACAGGGAATAAGTTCTACCAAAGTACAACTGTTCTTACTGGTTTGCAGAAATCACCATGAAATTTGTAGATAACTGACTATTAATCAATTGCAGCATTTCAAATAAACTCATACAATAGAGCATATTTTGTCAATTTACATTTAGTTTTAGTTATTATGGCAATAATTCATAGGAGAATAGTAAATGTTATATACTATTTTTTTATTCAAAACTTAGTGGAAATCATAGTGTCAGGAAATCTACAGCACTTTCTTTTAATCCCTGCCAAGAGCTCTTGAAAGTCTACTCTGTGTGTATGTGTGTGCATGTACATATGCATATATGAAAGAGGGAAGTTCAGAGCGAAAAATTATACAGTACAAGACTTGGCAAACTGTAAACTAAGACTTCCTTGTAAACTATAGGTACATATAGGTATGTAATGACAGAAATGATATCGCTATCGTGAAATACTGTTACCCAGGTAACATAGCTGTAAATAAAACCATTTTCAGTATGCCAGTTCTAAATCAAGATCCAGAGATTTTATTCCCAATAAAATCATATGAATTCATACATTGATATACTTTATTTTGCTCAGCTGGTATTGTGTATACTGTGGACACTCAAAATCCCACACAATGTTCTAGCATTTCAATGTTCCCTTTTTTTGTTGTTGCCTCAACTTCCAACATCTATTGTTGTTATGAACATCTTTAATATCATTAGATCTACATAAAGTACTTCTATGTTACAATGTGAAACTCTGTTGGCACAGTTCATTTTTTTAGGTAAGGGTTTGCTGGTCAAAAACATGGCATACACTTAATTTACTGGTAATTTACCACCAATAACAATGGCGGTATTCAGAATTTATACGTATTAATCAGAACAGCAAGGCTTTATCCCACAGCAGCTGAGTTTTTATGAATTGCATATTATTGATGATATTCCAGATGATGCAGAAAGAAAACAGTAAAGTAAAAAACTAAACCTAACTTGGATTAAAAGTTACAGGTCAATATGTAGAAGTTTGAGAAACATAACAACTCAAGCTATCAGATTGTGAGGCAATTAGCAGTCCTTACCCTAAGACTCTGAAGCCAACTCACTAGAAAAAAAAAAATCAGAAAATGCAGCTGCCCAAAGACAGAAATAATAGATCTTTCAGAAGGTTATTGGCAGTTGTGAATTTTGGTTTTAAAACATTAACAGAGCCTTAATGAATAACAATTCATTTCTTTTGCAAATACTATACAAAATCCAACTCTCAGTTATTAGATAAAAACAAAACCATACACAGGTGAATATGGGTTGTAACTATCTTCAGTAGAGCAAAGTTCTAGGGAAGTTGCAGATGAAATTCAGAAAATAACCAAACAAGAAATAATGCATGTCTCGTATGACAGAACAGGACAATCAGGTATCCCAACCTAGTGATGCACAGATCCAAAATATACGGCTCTATCGTGATATCTCAAGATTTTCTTCAGAGTAACTCTGTTTCCATATTCTTGAACTAGTATACCACCATAAGAACAAAAAATAAGCATCTCAGCAAAAATAAAATTCAGAGTCTTTACTGACTGAGGAAACAAAAAGCTGCTAGAATGACTGACATAAAAATGTAATACCGCCACATGTAACCACTTTTGCCAATAAATGTTATCTCCAAATTATTCAGTTCTCTCAGCAACTGTTTCATTCTGAAATGGTTCTACTTGAAAGAAAGAGAAATAAGGGGCCAAGTTTCCAGAAATGCAGTAGTAAGCTCTCCTACACTCTTCAACAATGAAGAAATACAAGTAAGAGAACACTCTTTAGATAATTTCTCAGGATGAATTGGAGAGGAATGCAGTAAAATTCAGATTTTATCAACCAATATTTATTAACATCAACAAATGTGCACATCCTAAAATGGCTTTGTGATATGTTCCATAACAAAAAATATTTGTCTCTCTTGGCAATGATGCATGATTCCTTTTTTTTTTGAATTAATTTATGTATGATTCTATTTTTTAAAGGAAAAAAAGGCTTATCTATCTGAAACCATAGTACTAAATAGCACTTATTCTTGACCTTAGAGTACCTGAGGTGAAGGCCTTCTTATAACAGCATCCAAGGACTAGTGAGGATAAGCTAGTCGCTACAGAGAAAAGCTCTGCACCAACTAAAGGTTAAAATAGCAATTAGAAAAAAGTCTGACAAGCACATTCCAATACAAGGTGCAGTCCTGAGCAAAATGGAAGAGTTGTACAGCAACACAAACAGTAGCCATATCACATTATGAAGGAGCACACTGCAGACAATAATGCCAACAGTAGATGGCAGAGACTGGAGAAAAATACTCCACACAATAAATTCTTATTTTAATTATGTCAAGTGAGAGGAAATAACAATCTTGCATTCATAGAATCATAGAATGGTTTGGGTTGGAAGGGACCTTAAAGATCATCTAGTCCAACCCCCCTGCCATGGGCAGGGACACCTTCCACTAGTCCAGGTTGCTCAAAGCCCCATCCAGCCTGGCTTTGAACACTGCCAGGGAGGGGGCAGCTACAGCTTCTCTGGGCAACCTGTGTCAGTGCACCATCCTCACAGTAAAGAATTTCTTCCTAAGTTCTAGTCTAAATCTCCCCTCTTTCAGTTTGAAACCATTACCCCTTGTCCTACCACTGCACTCCCTGATAATGAGTCCCTGCCCATCTTTCCTGAAGGCCCCCTTTAAGTGCTGGACAATTCAGGTGGGAAGAGACATGAGGACACCTCTAGTCCAAAGTCCTGTTCAATGCATGGTCATCCACATGATCAGACCAAGTTGCTCTGGGCTTTATCCAGCCAGTTTTGAAAACCTCAAAGGTTGGAGGCTATGTAACCTCTCTGGATAACCTGTTGCACTGCTTGTCTGTCCACATGGTGAAATAGTTTCTACAGACAAGCACTGGGGCAGGTAGTTTATAGAGATTATGCAACACCTATCTTGGAGTTTTTCAATGTATGCCCATTGTCTTTTGTCTTCCTGCCAGGCACCACTGTGAAGAGCCCTGCAGTGTCTTCTTGACAACCTCCTCATAGATCCTGAAACGCTGCTACTAGAAGTTGTTACCTTTGCCAAATGTAAGTAATGTACCATAAAGTCCAAAACATGTCCAGACTAGATAGCTGAGCTTAGATGTCACACTTTCCTATTTGCGGGATCTTGATTTGTACAATTTCAGGTTAATTGCTAATGATATCATATATAGATGCAACTTCATCAGTTGTTACTTTATTAACATAATAAAGTAATTTAATATAATAAAGCAACATATAATGACAGTTTCAACAGGTACTGGCTCAAGTTACACATTTGTTTCTACCTGCTGAGCTGCTTCTCAGTATTTACTGTTCAGCAACAAAAAGTTACTGAAAGACAGGTGGTTTACTCATTTTACTGACATGCAGTAATATTTCATAGCTGTTTCATTTGTTTAGACATCCTTATGTCAGCATGGCTAATATTTTTCTTGGTAAAGCCTTAAACAGCTATGGTAACTAATCATTGTGTCAACTACAAGCCCTTGTCTTTAAAAGGTCCTGATCTAGTAACCAACAAGATCATCTTCCTAAAGATCAAGACCTTAAAAAAAAAAAAAAAAAAAAAAAAAAAAAGGTGGAAATGTTGTGCCTTCCACTACTACACAAACAATTTGCTACATGAATACAAGTAATTCAACTAAACAAAAAATATTTTGAATCCTTCCTAAACTGCTTTTAAATAGGATGGAGCATGTCTTTTGATCAACCTCACAGTGCCTAGAACTGAGTTTTGGTATTGTTTTCTTTTACTCCTTTGTTAATCTCTGAATGATTAACTAAGGAAATATACTAGTACTAAAACTATCAGGAACTCTGTAATTAGTTAATTTATGTTGTTTCCTCTTATACAAGGTTAGTAAATGTAGACATTTTTCTAGTCCATTCTCATTTAGCTATGCCAGCAAGGATTAGATTTAACATAGATGTAACATGAGTACTGATTCAAAATAGTCACAAAGTTTCTATATGTTGATTTATAGGATGCTGTTTCGCTGCAGTATTTAGCACCAACTTTGTTTTAATCAACACTTACACAAATTTTATTTAAGACAACTAGAGGCAGTGGACCACAAAACTACACTTAGCAGGAAGACGGATGACATTAAGTTACAACAATAATAAAGTCTCAGCCTTAATTCTTCTTACTTCAATCCAGCAGTTTTCCACAAAGTGTTCTTATAATAGTAAGAAGAGGAAGATTAATATACCCACAGAATGGGCAAACTGCCGAAGGCAGTTTTTACAAGACAGTGTAGATATTGCGGCTCAGGGTTCAGGAAAGGAAGACTCCCTATTCAAAAAAAACAAACTAAACCAAAACAAAACAAAAAATTAAAAAATTGTAAGAATACTAAATTAATTAAAATGTTGCAGTTCTTTACAGTTATCACTTTTTTTTTTCAAAAATTTTATTTTTGCACCAGAAAT